GCCCCCATTACAAGATGATGAGCCTCTGCTCTGTTGGACAAAGGCACACAGTCTGAGGACTGCAATAAGTCAGGATCCCGTAAATGCCGGCTCTCTAATGGCAAGAGTGCTAAACCGGCTTTTCCTTTCAGCATCACAAACAGCAGAACTTACCATTCATTTAAACCTAGATGATGATTTACAGAATTATTTTCCTCAAAATCTGCCACTAAAAACAACCTTTGGTCCATGGCCAAGAATTTAGATGAATCATTCTTGAGTTAATAGCATAGAATCGACTACAAATAACTAGAGCATTTGCCTTAGTACAACACAAATACAGGAAATACTTCATTCCAACTCTACTAATTCCAAAATAAATTCTTCCTGCAGAGAATGCTGCTATGAATAAGAGGTACACAAAGCCCACAAAGAAATAAAACAAAGAATGCCTCATCCAGCCAGAACCCCAGGGACCGTGCTTCTCGGTCACATCAACAAAGGCCCCGGGTCGGGAAGAGTGCTTCTCGCCCGAGCCACAGAAGAACAGTGCTTTCATGTCCACAGACGGCCTACCCGGATTTCTCCATTGTCATCTCCAGTCGCCAGCAGGGTGCTATCCGCAGAGAAGACAGAGCAGCGTACACAACCTTTGTGGCCCCTCAATTCATGAAGGGGGAAAGAGTGTTCAAAATTCCAAATCTGAAAGGCAATTGGAATTGTTTAGAAATCACAAATGTACTGGGAGACAACACCCGTACACTACGCTTTGAGCAGGTGCCATTTAACTTTCAATCCAATCCCATCTCACAGTCAGAGGTTTTCATGCTATTGTCCACATTTCACCGGGAAACTTTACTCATTTTTCCCTTACTCAAGTTCACTTCTATGCCAGGACCAATGCCACAGCTTCCTTAACTTTATCGATGAAGGAGGAAATTGGAAGGAAGAACAGCAATTGAGTTCAGAGCCACGTGCAGAGTGAAGCATTCCTGAGTGTGAATAACAGACACGTGACTTATTAGTTCCTTGTGACCCAAGATAATTCGCTTTAGCTTCTCTAGCTTTAATATCTGCACCTGTAAAATGGGGACATTAATACCTACGATGTGAAACCCTAATGAGACAGTAAAGAAAGTTCCCAGCACAGGGCTTAGCACATGGCATGTGTTTTATAAAGGCTATCACTATCACCGAGGCAGCCAGATGTGGGACCTGGCCTTCCACTTTCCTCCCTGGTCATTCTGTCATCACCAGTTAACTAGTCTGTACTGAAAACCACCTGTACCAGGCCCTGTGAGGTAGCAACAGGCGGTAAACAATAAACTAGCCCCGATCTTTGAAAATATACATGTGCAAACAAACATGAAAGAAATATATTGGGAACAATGAAGTCAGAGCGTTAGCCCTGCCTGAGGGTCAGGAAAGCGTTACTGACAGCAGATGCAGGACTAAAGAATGAGTCCTGATTCTTCAAGGTTACAAAGGTATAGAAGGTTTTGTCAAACTACAGTTAACAGTATGCTCAAAAAGGTGGTGAGAGTGGCAATACTGGGAGGGTGGAGGGAAGGTGGGGTGGCAATGGGGAAACGATTACAAGGATCTACATATAACCCCCTCCGTCGGGGATGAACAACAGAAAAGAGGGTGAGGAAGACATCGGACAGTGTAAGATATGACAAAATAATAATTTATAAATCATCAAGAGTACGTGAGGGAGGGGGGAGCGGGGAGGGAGAGAGGGAAAAAATGAGGAGCTGATACCAAGGACTCAAATAGAAAGCAAATGTTTTGGGAATGATGATGGCAACAGATGTACAAATGTGCTTGACATACAATGGACGCATGTGTGGACTGTGGTAGGAGTCGTACGAGCCCCCACCGAGGGACCAGTACAGCAGAACCAGATGCTAAAGACTAAGGAGCGCAGCTTCCAAATCCTCGGGGGCAGAAGTGTTTCAGTCAAGGACTCAGGCAGCAGTATGAGAGACACTGGCCAAGGCAGACTGGTGGGGGGCAGGGGTGGGGGCCCAGCAGAGGAGAGGGAGGGCAAGGCAAGAAACACTGGGGAGGGATCCATCCAGATGTGGGAGCGGACAGTCCGGACAATTCAAAGGTTACAGTTTGGAAGGGTGAATAGTAGTGATGCCATGAACAGAGATGAAGAGACGAGAACCAAGTACTCAGAGCTCACCATCTGATCAAATTTCCCAGAGGAAAGGACCCATGTACACCTTCACACATTCCTAAACCTCACAATACCAACAGCAGCATGTCACCGGAATGTGAACTTTAGAAGTATCAATGCGTACCGATTCTGTAAGAATGTACTGTGGGTGTGCGGTGAAATGTGATTTTTAGAGCCCACGGGCTGAAGACTGCATTCAGTTAGACACAGACAAGAAGCCATCGGGAAGGAAGGCCCCAGGCGTCCTCCGTGTCATTCAGACCATCTCCTCGCCACCTACTCAAGGCCAATGGCTTCCTCAGAAAGCTCACCCAAGAGGAGACAGACAGACAGGCCCACCGCCGTCTTGTTCTACGCGCACCACGGAGTCAGGTCCAACTCACAGCAACCCCGTGCCCGAAAGAAAGAAACACTGCAGGTCCTGGGACCTCCTCACAATTGTCACGCGTGAGTTCGCTGCTGCAGCCCTGTGTCGCTCCATCTTGTGGAGGGTCTTCCTCTTTCAATGTCCTTCAACGTTTATATGCTTTGTACTTACGTTACATAACCCCTGCCGAAATTCTACGCATGGACATTTCAACTGGCGGACCTACCTTCGCAGTCTTGTCAGTAGAGGTAGATGAAAACTTGGTCTCATCAGGAGAAATATCACAAGACAGTACTGTGTCCTGGTGACAGACAAAGTCTTTCTCTATTCTTCCAGTCATAATATTCCATACCTTAAAAAAACAAAAAATTTTTTAAAACCCCACAAACTCACATTTGCCATTTGTCAGGACATCTTGTCTTGGTGCGCATGGAGCTATCAAACAAGAGCTACAGCCAAGTGGTTGCCCTGACTGCTATGCCTTCTAAGTGCACGTTAGTATAAAACAAGCACTCCATCACACAGCAGATGTAGCTGGCAACAGTAAACAGAAAAACAGGCAAGAGAAAATTAAAAATTTTAAATGTACTGAACACCCATCTGCTTGTGGCTGTCACAATATAATCACTGCGATATTAGAATACTTTTCTTAGAATCCGAGCCCATGCTTCAAATTACCTTCACTGTTCCATCAAATGACCAAGAAAGCAGCCTTGAATTTTTCAAGAGCCTAAAGTCTTTCACAGTTTCCTGATGGGCTTGCAGAAAGACATGTTCATCTGATTGCCAATTCCATACCTAAGGATCAGAGAAAGAAGCCTTGTTATCATCTTTGCTGGAGGGGTGGGGAGGTATACTGTCTTCCTGACACTTAAGTAAAACAAAGAAGAATGACTAGGAGGGATATGGAGGGAGTCCCCACTTATTGAATCAGTGAGATGAATTAACCTTATTAGGGCAAAACAAGATCCATTTCCTCCTAAATAAAATGTGTTGTCTTCAATTGCTCAGAAAACAGTTAACTATACCAGAAAACAAGGGAAAAGCCACATTATGCCAGTGAGTTCACCATCCAATTAAATTTTCCAGAGAAAATTGTTCCAGTTACATATTCACAGGTTTCTAAACCCCTCTCAAGTTAGGCAAGTCTGTAGATCCTGGCTCCACTGAGGCTGACCATTTTACTAGGGACGGTCAAATGACCAAAGCAACTTCACACCTGGTCATGAATGTCCAAGCTCAGAGACCTTAGTTATCTCCTAGGGCAGTCTTCAGAAGGGTATGCAAACCACAGTGTGCTATTTGACACTCTGAAGTCGATGGGAAGGAGGGAATTGAAATAATATGAATAACTAACATAGAAGCAAGCACACAAGTATATCTGCAGTAGAGAGATGAACTGAACAGGAATTTACTTCTATATCATGTCTGTGTCAAAACATTTCTTAGTTATTAAATCAAAGGCACTGTATTTAAAGCCTAATTCTTAACTTCAATTTAATCTTAAAAATGTTTATTTAGTACCTACATGTAAAGTAAATATGAATCAAGTAAGAAGCCTAAAAGTCTAGCAGAGAGCATGAGACTTTAAAGTAAATAAGAACCCTATAATGAGAGATAATGATAGAGTTCTGTGAAGCTCAAAAAAGCAATTCCGTAGAGAAGAGTTGGCGGGGACAAGGCATGGAGAGCATGTTTGAGGAATGGGTCAGAAGTATGAGCCAGAAAGGGCATCTCAGAGAGTGCTTCCCTGAGTGCTCGGGCGATTTCACACAGGAGCAGGAAAACATGAAAAGATCATTCAGCCTCACGGAAGCCAAGGCTAGTAAGGAGGGACAGTAGGGAAAAGTGGGACGGTACTTAGACAACCCAAAGGATCTATGAAGTTAAACTTCCAAGCTGTAGTAATCAGGAGGATTCTATTTAATAAGATGTATAAAAATATGAAGATCAGCCAGCACCATAGGTATACACATTAGTAACATTCTGGGTCTTGCTTGCTGAAAAGTGAAGCAGTCTTACTGGTGAAAATCAAGAACACACTTGAATTATGGCTCCAGCAAAGATATTGAAAGCACCGTCAATTGCCAAAGAACAAACACATCTGTCTTGGAAGAAATACAGCCAGAATGCTTCTTAGAAGCAGGACTAACCAGATGTTGTCTGAATGTACTTTGGTCAGGTTTTCAAGGGAGACTAATCCCAGGAAAAGGACAGGATGCGTGGTAAAATAGAAGGCAGAGAAAAAGAAGACTCTCAATGATATAGATTAAAACAGTGGCTTGCCAACCAAATCAATGTGAAGGGGCAGGCATGTAGTGGAGACCCAAAACCCACCTGCAAGATAATTAGTCAGTCCCTCTCAGAAGGGTCATAAGGAAGAGATGATAAATCCAGGGTGCGATATAGCTCTGATGAACCTCTGGCTAAAATGACCCTTCCTCCTCTGACTAGTATGGGTTTTATTTGTTTTATCTCATTAATCATGTTAGACTTGCGTATAATTAAGATTATACATGAAAGTCAAGATAGATAACCCTTCAGAAACAGTAACAGGAGTTAAGGACTCCCTGAGGGAGCGGGAAGTGAGGGGGAGAGAGGGAGGAGCAGCTGAAAGCACTGATGACTGTGGAACCCCACTGGAGCGGAGTGGACAACAGCACTGTATGTGAGCGGATGGATTGGCTGGTATAAAATAAACAAGGGTTCCTGGGGGAGGTGGGGCAGGGATAAATGGGAGCTGATATCAAGGAGTTCACGAAGAAAGAAAACGCTTTCAAACTGACTGTGGTAACAATTGTACCATACTGCTTGATGCGACTAAACCATGGAATGTTATGATGTCTATAAGAGCTCCCAATAACATCATTTTTAAAAAGTGTGGCTTACAATGGGCTCAAACATAGTAACAACTGTGACGCTGGCACAGGATCACACAGGGTCTGGTTCTGTTGTTCACGGGGTCGCTATGAATCAGAATCAGAAACAAAAACAACATTTGGGGTGTAGTTTTTGACTGGTGAAGGTTGAACAGCAGAAAGGCTATATCGCATCAGGTTTAGGAAAAACTGGAAAAGAAAGGGCACCTATCATATTCCCTCTTCTTCAGTCCTTTGCCTTCTACTCTTAGCTGCCACCCTCCCCTCGAAGCTGTGGCTCACAGATCTTTCCCTCTCATTTGTCTGGGTGCTCAATCACAGGAGTAGAGGTCCTTAGAAGATGAGATGGAAGTGAAAGTGATTCTAGAAAGAACCAACTAAGAACAGAATATGGTATTCTGGGGCAGTGGAGGGGGAAGACGTGAAGGCTTTTCTAGCTCCCCAAATCAGACCAGAATGGAAGAGCATCCTGTGCGACTAAATATAAAGCACCTCAGACCATTTCCACGGGGAATTTTCTGGCTCCCTTTGCCTTTTCTGGGCTAACCTGGCTTAGAAGATGAGTGGTTGTCTACCATTAACAGTTCCTCCTGATTGACAGACCGTGACAATCCAAGCTGCCTGGTTCATGGTCATTCCGACTTAGGTTCTTATAGCTGCCCTCCATCCATATCAGGGAGTCAGAAAGGCTTCCTAAACAGGCATGACAAAGAACTGAGCAATCCCTAAAGGGAGATTAAGAATAGCCGGAGAAGCTTTTGTTGCAGAAGCCTTCTGATAAGGCAGTGATGACAGGGACATCTTTTTTGTTCAACTCAAACATGCTGTGCAAATTGAATCACTTTGAGATAATAGCTAAGCTTCCAGTCAAATGTGTTTAAGTCAATGTATTTAGTCAAATGTGTTTAAGCGCACTTTCAAGGGGTCTCTACCATTGGCTATCATTTTGTAATGTATATTGACTTTTTGACTATAAACCAAAAAAAAGAAAACAAAAACCCTCACGGCTGTTGAGTTAATTCTTACTCATAGCAACCCTAGAGGACACAGTGGAAGGGCCCGGTGAGTCTGAGACTGTAAATACGACCTTTCAGGTCACAGCCCAATGCGTAACCACTGTACCACCAGGGCTCCATTTTTGCTATATTAAATTCTAAAAATGTTAAGAGAGTTTGTTTAACTTGCAAGAACCAATATATTCTTAAACATCGGCCCAGGAGAACATGGCTACTACTTGGACTTTATAAGGGGTTCCAAAAAACTTGCAAATTGTATTATCTTTTAATTCCATATTTCTACAAAACTTCTAAACCCTCTCATTATTTCCCTCAAAGTCAAAAATAAAAAATTACTGAGACAGACCAATTCTTACAGCTCTACATGCCATAATCAGGCCGGTGAATTTTTAACTAAAAGTTTAGCCTCATGAGCATTCCAGGTACTGGGGATACAAAGATGATTGAATCAAACCCCCATTCAGTCATTTACTTAAACATTAAAGAGCCAAAACAAAAACCCAACAAGCCAGCTGTTAGAAATACTTTTCAAGAGTTGTATCTCGTAAATACATATGCAATTAAAACATTCTAAATGGAAAAACGTATCCTTAGCAGATAAGGTGAAACACAATTTAACTCACATTTCTAAGAATTTAACTCTTATTCTAAAAATATCTGTAAAACTTATTTCTCCCTCTGGCTGAAAAGATCTGATCTTCAAACTAGCCATAAAAGCTTATAAATTTAGCTTTTGACAGAAAGGCTACACAGCATACAATGTCTCAGCAGGGTTCCATCAGATGTATTTGAGTTTGACCCATTATCAAAGACATCGAGAGGAAGAACACTGAACTTCACAGATAATGCAGTACCATGAGAGCCTAGATTAAGCTGCTGTACTGAAGTCGAATGCCATTCTCATGACACAGCTTCATAGAACTCACAAAAGACAAGCTATTTTATACTAACACAATTTCCCCCCCAAAATAGTTCATAATGGTACAATTAACTAGGCATTACCATGATCAGAAATACATGGAATCCCTAAACAAAAGCAAAACAAACCCCTGCCATTGATACAAGTTGACAGAAGAACTCAGTGCAGAAAGCAAATGTGCTCAGCCACTGACTGAAAGGTTGCAGCCTACCCAAAGATACCTCAAAAGAAAGGCCTGGCAACCTACGTCAGGAAAATCAGCCCTGAGAATCTTAGGGACTTAGGAGGCATCTAGGTCAATCGGCAAAGCAGTTCATAAAGATAATGTTGTACATCCTACTCCATGAGTACATCTGAGGTCTTCAATGCTTACAAGTAGCTATCTAAGAAGATACCTGTTGGTCTTTTCCGACCTGGAAGAAAAGAGAATGTACAACGCCAAAGCTCAGGGACTAAAAACGGCCCGAATGAATCACTGCCCCTAACCTGAGACCAGAACTAGATGATGCCTGCCGACCGCTCTGACCCACAATCGAGGTCTCAGTTAGAATGAGTTAAAAACATAGAATTAAAAAGTAAGGTTCAGACTTATTGGCCTGCGAGACTGGAGGAACCCTCGGGACTCTCACCCTGAGACAACCTGCTAACTTGAAACTGAAGGAGCTCCTAGAGGCCACCTTTCAACCAAACAGTCCCCTAATGAACAAACATCGTGAAGAATGTGTTCCTTAGAACAAGCAACGCTACTACATTAAGTACTATACTATACCATACCATACCATACCATATCAAAAGATCAACACCTGCCCAAAACCAAAGACAGGAAGAAAGAGAGGGACAGAGACACAGGATGAACAAACAGATAACCTATGGAAAAAATGGGAGGCTAACATTGTGGGGATTGCAATCAATGTCAAAGAATAATTTGTATATGAATTATTTATTAGAAAATTAATTCCTATGTAACTTTCTACTAAAGTACAA